CTGACACACCCGGGGTGTACTTCCTGAGTGATTCTGAAACCCAGCCTGGCTGACTATTAAGATGAACCATCAAATCTGGATAATCCAGGATATTCATCTCATCTCAAGATCCTGAACTTGGCCAAGTCCATAAAATCTCCTTTGCCATGGGAGGTGGCACACCCCCAGGTTCCAGGGATTAAGAAAGGGAGCTCTTTGGGTACTATTACCTCACAAATCCTCCTCACCCAGGTTCCTCCCTTCCCCCAGGATGTCCTCTGATAGGCATTCCCCTTTCTCCTGCTCGATTCTCAGACACCATCTTTGATAAGGTTGTTTTTTTTTTTTTCAGTTGGTAAATGTTTATTTTCTGTAAAAATACCTGGACCTAATGAGAAGTTTGTGTCCAGATGCATAATGTGCCCACTTCACATTTTAGGCAGTTAACAATCAATTTTGGTAGCAACCATTACTTTTCTTTTTTTACAGACAAGGTCTTACTATGTAGCCCTGGCTGTCCTAGAACATATTATGCAGACGAGGTGGCCTGATGAGGTTGTTTTTAAATAGTTTCTCCCACCTCCTGACAGCAATGCAGCCTGCACCTGTTCTTGCTGTGGTGCGCAGGGGCACAGCCCTGGCCAACCTTTTATTCTCAACCAGCTGCTTGCTCTTGTTGGTTGTTTGGGCCTCCTTGAGACTTCCTCTCCTCTGTCTGCCTTTACATACTCTTCCTGGCTTAATTTTTAAAATTTTAAAATTACATTTATCTCTGCTAGGCAGTGGTGGTATGCACCTTTAATCCTAGCACTCAGGAGGCAGAGGCAGAGGCAGGCAGATCTCTGTGAGTTTGAGGTCAGCCTGGACTACAAAGCAGATGCCAGGACAGCCAGGGCTACATGGAGAAACCCTGTTTTGAAAGAATCTCAAACAAACAAAAAATTACATCTCTCTCTCTCTCTCTCTCTCTCTCTCTCTCTCTCTCTCTGTGGTGTGTGTGTGTGTGTGTGTATGTGTGTGTGTGTATGTATGTGGTGTGTGTGTGTGTATGGTGTTTGTGTGTATGTGTGTGTGTGTATAAGTGTGTGTATGCACATATATACATGTATATGCACCTGTGTACACACGGCACCTGTGTGACTGTCAGGGGACAATTGAGGGAGTTGATTCTCTTCTGGCACTATGTGGGTCCTAGAGCTTGAACTCAGGTTACCATGCTTAGCAGCAAGGACTTTTACCTACTGAGCCATCTCAGTTTCTCTTCCTCCTGGGTTCCCACCTCCTGGTCCTCTATATGTTGCACTATCTCCATCTATCTGAAATGTCCAACTTTCCCCAGGATTTGGGATCTTGGATCCAGTGTTATTTCTTATTGTGTCTTGTCTCACACTAATGGCTAGTGCACAGGGATGGCTGACTCCTGCCCATCCTCTGCAAACTAGCTGGGGGTGAGGATCATGCTTCACTGGGCCCAAGTGGCTCCTCGGCTGCCTCAGCCTTCCTTGGGGTATATGCATTGAGAGAGTTCCCTGAGGAGGGGACTTCGAACCATGAACCCTGGGCCACTTTTCTTGTTTCTGTCTAAGATGGTGTGGAATCTTCTCAGGACTTTCCAGAGGTCAGATAAAGGCATAAGGCCAGGGGAGCTGAAGGGCAGAGTGTGTTTATTGGGGAACGACCTTACAGAGGCAGCTTCAAGGAGGAAAACTTTACTTTGGGTCACAGTTTCAAAGAGTGCAGGCTATCACTGGGGGACAGGCAGTCCATGATGACGTGAGCTTCTAGCCTGTTCACTTATTGGCATATGGGAAAGCAGAGAGCCCTAGCCCATATCTGAAATAGAATAGTCCTCATGGCCCACCCTGCAGTGACCCACGCCTGCTAGTTAGGTCACAGGTCCAGAGGTTCCACAACCTTCCAGCTTTGTCAACAGCTGGAGATCAGTTGTTCAAACACACGAGCCTGTGGGGTCATTTAAAACTCAAAATTCTTACAACAGGGAAACAAGTTGGGATGGTACCTCTTCAGAAATGTAGTTGCCGGGGAAACCTATTGTAACCATGACCTCTGGTGTGTGCAATTGCTTGAGTTTGGAAAGAGACACAGACCAAATGTAGCTCAAAGGCATAAATATTCATAGGGAACCAAGGTGTGTCCTGAGAATATAGTTAGTCACCAGAAAAAGAGACTAATTGATCAAAATAGAGGAGTTGCTTTAAATGCAGGAAAACTGATGAGGCACAGTGTGATCTTGGGGACAGCCAGGGGACTCACAGGCAAAGAGGGACTTGAGCAGGGAATAGTCCCGGATGGAGAGTGAAAATGGCTGTCTCAGGCAGGGCACAGCATGCTCAGCGGTTGGGAGTTAGAATGTATTCTATTTAGGGATCAAGGAGGATGGAGAGAGGAGGAGGCTGATGATGCTGGCACATCCAGAGCATAGGGGCTTCAGGTCAGCACTGGCACGGAAGTTTGAGCTTTCTCATGCTGGCCATGGGGAGTCATGGGAAGGGTTTTGAACAGGGAGAATGACTTAGAAGAGCTTACCTTTAAGAAGACTACACCAGTCTTGGGGCAGGCTGGGCAGGAATTCCAGGGCTCCAGATCTAAACATATACAAGATATAATTTTTAATAAATACTTTGGAAATTATTGTCCTATTCCTATGATTTTATGTGTGTGCATATTGTAGTGATATTTTGTTTGTGATCTAACAAATAAAGCTTTCCTGAAGATCCATCCGAGTGCAAAGCTAGCCACATTAGTTAGCCATAGATGCCAGGCAATGGTGGCATACACCTCTAATCCCAGTGCTCGGGAGCCAGAGGCAGGCAGATTGAGTTCCAGGCCACCCCGGGCTACTTGAGATTGATCCAGTCTAAAAGAGAAACAGAGCCAGGAGGTGATGGCTCACACTTTTAATCCCAGTACTTGTAAGTCACACACCTTTAATCCCAGCACTAGGGAGGTGGAGACAGGAGAGACCTGGCTGGGTGGAGAGAGGAATATAAGACAGGAGGAGACAGCAGCTCATTGCACTCAGTCTGAGGATTCCTAGGGACAGGATTGCCCTTTGGTCTGAGGATTCAGTAGAGGTTAGAGGTCTCTCTTGTGGCAGCTCCTTTACTTCTTTGACCTTTTCAGCATTTACCCGGATATCTGACTCTGGGTTTTTATTATTAAGACCTATTAGAACCCGTGCTATAGCATATGTATATTTATTATGTATTATGTATTTATAATACATATTTAATAAGACTATTGGTTGTTATTTTAGATAGGGTCTCACTGTGTAGTCCTGGCTGGCCTGGAACTCACAGAGACCTGCCTGCTTCTGCCTCCTGAGTGCTGGGATTAAAGGTGTGTGCCATCACATGTGGCTGTCCGAATGTATTTTACATGTACCCTCACACTTATTAGATGGCCTGGATGGAGACCTTCCCTAAGGCACACAGTGACAAAGGTAGCATTAGGATTCAGGGATGCTTCCTGGTACAGGGCTTTCCTTCCCCTTCACTGTACTGAGTGAGTGCAGAGGTATCAGAAAGGAGGCAGGACCAGGAGGCGCTCACCAAGGTGAACGGTGCCCAGGGCAGATACCAAGGTGAGGGCCATGTGGGAGGCAATGACAGTATGTTCTTTCTCCTCTCTCTGGGTGGGGGTGGGGACATGGGGTTCATTGGAGACTGCACATGAGTGCATCTCTCTTTCCCGAGTCCTGCAGCATCCTTCTGGGCCTGGTTTCTATGGCAACAGGCTCCCAGCAGGCAGCCTGCCAGCTGGAAGGAAGCAGGCAGGCAGGCTTGGAGAGAAGGCCTGGGCCGCAGGAGGAAGGTTGGAGTTGCAGAGGTGGCAGGGTTGGGTGGGAGAGTCTCCTGGGAAGCTGGACAGGCCCCTGGAGATGTCTAATGAGACCCTCTTCCCTTTTGACTGTGTGGAGGTAGAGGTAGAGGAGGGCCCACAGCCTTTCCTTTGAGGTTCTTGAATTCCCAGACTACTTCAACTTCTGTTCATCTTTGACACCACACCCCCAGCCTGACTCCTACTTCTCACAGTATTGTCTGGCCCCAACCTCATGCTTCATAGTGCTCATTGACTTCTTTAAGACAAGAGCCCCTACTCTGAACTCAGAGTGGGAAAAATGAACAAGGCCAATTGACTTTCTGTTTTGCATAGGATTTGCATATAATTAACTCAAAGACAAGAAATTTCCAGGCCCGGTGTCATTCCTGCCAACAACTTAATTCAGCTCCACTGGCTCTGGCAGACTGTCTGGCCAGGCTCTGGGCTGAGCCACCAGGGTTCCCAGGGGTGAAGTCTTCCCTGCTGTATGCCCCCTCCATTGCAAGCTGCTCCCAGGCATATTTCTTCCTTTAGCTGGTGCCACCCAGAGTGCAGCCCTGTGTCCTAATCCTGGCTCTGCCACTCTGAAGCTGGGTGACCTGGGAGCTCTCTGGGTCCCCATTTCTCTGTGGGCCTAGGACACACTGTACAGCCACCATAAACCAGCACAGATATCTTTTCTAGAATACTGAATTGCAAGTGACTCAACACTACAATACTAGTACTCAACAAGTTGAGGCAGGAGGCTCACTTTGTGGATGCAGCCTGGGGATCCAATGTGAGTTCCAGGTCAACCTGGGTACAGAATGAGACTTGACTCAAAGCAACAAACCACAAAGAAAAATAGCAAAATGCGTCTGCATTCATTGCTCTAGAGCTACCACCAGCAGCAGCCCCATAGCTGGCTTCTGTAAGTCAGTCTCAGCTTTGCTTGGCATGTTCCAGTGTCTCTCTGGTCATTAGCATAGGTAGTTAAATACCGTCACTGCTGTTCAGTGGAAGTGAAATAGGTAGGTAGATCCGGTACCTACTAGCTGGAAGGGCCAATTGAGTGTGTGGGTTAGTGGCTATCGTTTTGTAGGTTCCTAGTCCCCCCCCCTTTTTTTTTTTTTGCTTGGAGTTGGGATGAGGGTGGTGACCCGAGCAGGAGCAGGGCAGACAGACATCTCCCTCCACAGGCGGGCGAGGTTCAAGCGCTCCAACAGCGTGACAGCCGGTGTGCAGGCAGACCTGGAGCTGGAGGGCTTGGCTGGCCTGGCCACTGTGGCCACAGAAGACAAGGCCCTGCAGTTTGGACGTTCCTTCCAGAGGCATGCCTCTGAGCCCCAGCCTGGGCCCCGGGCCCCCACCTACTCAGTCTTCCGCACGGTCCACACGCAGGGCCAGTGGGCCTACCGCGAGGGCTACCCACTGCCGTATGAGCCGCCGGCCACTGATGGGTCTCCTGGCCCTACCCCTATCCCTGCCCCTGGCCCCGGGTCCGGTCGCCGAGATTCCTGGATGGAGCGCGGTTCACGTAGCCTCCCCGACTCAGGCCGCACGTCCCCCTGCCCACGGGACGGCGAGTGGTTCATCAAGATGCTGCGGGCAGAAGTGGAGAAACTGGAACACTGGTGCCAGCAGATGGAGCATGAGGCGGAGGACTATGAGCTGCCCGAGGAGAGTGAGTCCACTGCCACCCACGCAGGGGAGAGGGGCGCTGGCATCCTGTGTGTGGTGGTCCAGGCTGCAGCATATTAGCAGACATTAGCAGGCCCCTCCCTTCAAGCTTGGGCTTGCCTCCTCTTTGGTCCTTGTACTGGAACTTGAGGTTCCCACTGGTAACAGGACATGCTAGAAACACCTGGAAAGGGACAGCTTTAGAGGCCATGACTAGAACTGGGGACGCATGGGTGGATCTTGACCAGACAAAAGGAGGTGGCTACCAGTCTAAGTCACTAACTCCACGAGGAACCATTTGTCCAGATCTGGACAAGTAAACGGATCCAGTGTGAGCTTGGTGGTGAGGCAGGCACCACAAGTCTTTCTGATTAGAGCTGGGTAGCGGGTTTTTCCCAGAGGATGCTGGGATTCCTCGGTGAAAGATGTTGGGTTTTAACGCTGTTGGAGGAGGCAGCTCACAGGAGAACAAGTCTGGGGAAGAAATGGAAGGTCAGCATGGCAGAAAGCCCTGTGACAGAGGGTATGCCCTGTCCGCATGAGTCCAGTGTGAGGGGAGCCAGTGTCAAGTTCTGAGATGGATTTACAAATTCCTATCAAACCAAGGACACATGGACTGATGAATAGTCAGTGAGCTAGTGTTCTGGCCAAGGCTGGAAGCCTAGACTGGGGACACAGGCGGAGGCAGAATTCAGAAGGACCAGCTCTTGGAAAGGCAAGTGGGCTGCGTGGAGAAGGAACTTCACTGAGGAGGGTTGAAGTCTTCATGTGGTTGGGTGTTTGATAGGATGGGGAAGGGCTGGAGGAGAGAGATGGATAGATAGTACAGTAACCACCAGGTGAGCATCTTAAAAGGTAACCCCCCTCCCTCAAGGGTAGCTTGGGGGAAGAGGGATCTCATCCCCTCCCCCTCCCCGAGCCTCCTTCTCTTCCGCAGTCCTGGAGAAGATTCGCAGTGCCGTAGGCAGTACACAACTTCTCCTGTCTCAGAAGGTCCAGCAGTTCTTCAGGCTGTGTCAGCAAAGCTTGGTAAGTGTTAACAGCAGAGTGAGGTGTGTGGATCTGGCAGGTGACCCAGTGTGTCTGAGAAGTGGGACCAGGTCTGTGTACTGAGAGGGGTGGCTATGTGTGGCCCAGGGCAGTTCATTCAGTGTGGCCCAGACTAGCCAAAAGGTCAGACTTGTTTTGTTTGGAGTATTGAGCCTCGAGATTGAGTCCAGTGTTTCTGCCCAGGTAGGAGAGACCTGGGCCTTTTCTTGTCCCTGTCCCTATCGCACAACCAGTCCCCCTAGGTTGAGCTTTCTAACAGTGAGATTGAGTGTGGCTTTCTCTGAGCCTGCCTGGGGTCAGACCTCCCTGACTGGCTGCCTCCCCTGTGTGTCCCACCACGGCAGGACCCCACTGCGTTCCCTGTGCCCACCTTCCAGGACCTGGCGGGTTTCTGGGACCTCCTGCAGCTCTCCATTGAAGATGTGACCCTCAAGTTCCTGGAGCTACAACAACTTAAGGCCAACAGCTGGAAACTCCTGGAGCCTAAGGTGTGTTTGTGAGTTCCTTCAGGCCAAGAAGCCACACCCTGGATTGCCCTTCTCAGAAACAAGTGTGTGGATGTGTGTGTGGGTTTGAAGAAGTCACATGGGAACAGACTCACACAGCAATCACAGCTTTAGATAAGACAGCCTTACTCCTGGCCATTGCCCTGTGCTTGGCCCAGCCGTTCACGCCACTGCTGCCTCAGCCACCTCTGGTCAGCTACAGTGTGTGGAGTAGAGCTAGGTTTTTAAGGCGATTTTCAGTCTTCTATTTGATGGGTGTCAGAAGTGAGACTGGGCAGGCCCCGAGAGCCCTGGCAACCCCCCAACCTGCGTGTAGGTGCTAGCTGTTGAGAAAGGTTCCCACCAGGGTGCGCTCGACCCCCGTCATTATTTGGAGACCTGTACAGGGGCTTTGACCGGCTTTGACCTTGTGGAAACG